TGCAGTGCTTAATGGATGAGGCGTCATCCTCTTATGAAGATTTGGACCAAGCGCCAACAGGGCTGCATCTTTCCCAGCAATCAGTGCTTACTGCACATTAGACTGTGAATCAATTGTGTAAAATACACGTATTTTTTGAGAATCTCCTTTTGAGAAGGAAAACCCTGGTTGCATGCTTACCATGCATCAGCAGATGTATTACGTGAAAGGTCTTTTACTGATATTTGCATTTAAAAATAGATCCACACTCTCTGTTCAGCAAGTAAGAACATCTCCCAAACTCTGTGCCTGCTAACTTGACTGCTGAGACCTTCTGCTGTCCCTTCTATAAGGTGACACGGGCACAAAGCAGAAGGTGACAGCAAGGTGAGCAGACCCACCCCATTCCCATGGCTCCCAGCTCCTTAGGGAGCTCTGGGAGATGTGGATTCAGGTCCTGGGGCAGGGAGGGGAAGCAAACCTGGCTCTCCCACATTCCTTGCAATTCCAGAGCCATCAGACTACAGGCAAGAAAGGGTACGAATGCACCATCTTCACCCTTCCTGGTGTCTAAGAAAAAAAAAAAAAAAAAAAAACCACAAAACAAACAGCAACTTCAATTCTTGTTCTTTCATTCATTAATGATGATTGTAAAACAGTTTCAGGCTGGGCCAAACATTTCATTCAAATCAAGTTGATGTTTGGATTCTCATGATTGTTTCTTTTAGTGAAAATTACAAAGAAAAATGTCACTTTAAATGCATCTAATCTTTTCTTTAGAGGCAAGAACAAATTCAGGAGAGCACATACAGCAGAAAATCAGAGCAACTGAATAGAAATGACTCCACTGCATGGAGGGAAGAATAAATCTGTGGGGCAGAAGTGACGACAAACTAGCAAACAGGACATGGAAAATGAGAGATCCAGACAGTTTTCAAACAGCCATAAAAATGAGGTACTAATTCTTCAGTGAATGATAGTTCAGCCCTACATGTTATTACAAAGCAAACTGGGAGGGGAAGAGGACAGAGATAGGGAGCAGCAATGGCCAAAGCTCACTGCTTGCGAGTTTAAATAAAGATTATGGTAATGCTGTAATATTTCCTATGGCAACACCTGCTGAAAGTTAATACTACATAAGTTATAGAGAAGGCTAATAGAGAAGGCTAATATCGCTCCCTCCAATGTGTGTTCAGTATAAAAAAAAAAGTCATTTGTTCTGAATGATTACACTTGAACACAAACAAGGCCCTTAAGAACCAAGGTCTTTCCCCACTGTTATTTTAACAGACTATCACATTACACTCTGTCTCATCACAAAAACAGCAAACAAAACTCTGCTACCACACATTTAAAATATTTATCACAATGTAATTCTGGATAGCAGTTTCTATGCTTTGAAAAAAAATGATAAAAGCTTTAGTTCTTCTTGTGTGTGCTCTACACTCCATATTTCACATAAAAGCTATCTACAGGTTATGAGAACGACTCCGTTTTTTCAATAATTGGTTGAAATTAAACAATCTCACAGTTCAGAACTGTTGGCAGTTATTGATGATGCTTGCAGCAAATACAGAGCAAGTAGGCAGAGCTGAACAGAAAACAGTGTCCACTTGCCAGATGCAAGAGAACACCTTTTTGTGAAGCCCATTTGAAAAGTGTATGCTAGAACAGAAAATACTATGCAAATCACATTCATTTATGCTGATATTAATAAAAATACCCAAGCTATCAATATTTAAGAAAAAAAAAATAAGTGTTCAAACTTGATGATGAATTACACATTATGAACACTATGGCCCACACTGTGCAAAACCCCATCTAAACTATGAATAAGAGTGTTTTCTGTCTGAAAATAAGCTAATGTGCATGTGTAATCTCACCTATCTGCATAAAGCAGATTATTTTAATTGCACATTACACCAGCAAGCCCTTCATGCTCATTTGGAAGTTGAGAACTTGTGCAAATTAAAAGCAAGCTACAGAAAACAGGACTTAGAAAATCTGCTCTGATGAAGACTCCATGTCAGAGTAGTAAAACACGGCAAAGTGTTGGGAGATACGACCCAAAACATCCATGTTAATTCTTGATTTAAACTTTCTCAGAGCCACAAAGAAATCTCGCAGAATTTACCATGGTTAGGGTTGTGCAAAATTAGAATAAAACAGCTTCCAAGAAAAAGGATAGGAAAAGAAGAGATACAGCACACTCAAAAGCCATGTAAAGCAGCAGTTATTCTTAATGATCCAGGATTTTGTCAGGACTTCCTCTGGTAACATCTTGTTCTTAAGAATCACTGATAGACAGGATGGTATCATTTACTCCATGTAATGCATAAAGCTAAGATGGAGACAATTTCAAATAAACACCTGTGGAGTTCAGTTGCTTTCTTATTTCCAACTGATAAGCCTTGATGATATACCACATGCACTTAGCCCCATTCTGCACTCCACCACAATCCCACACCACGAGCGCTTCTGCAAACACGATGCTTGCTCAGAATGTCTGCAACCAGTGCAGGCTCAATTAAGAAGAGTCAAAACAGCCTAACAGAAGCAGAGGCTGCACACAGTGGGTACCACGAGCTCAGCACTGCCCCTAAGCTCAGCCAGTACCTGCTCAGCCCTCCACTGCTGCAGGCTGACTTCCACCTTCACAGTGGAACCTGTAACAATTGCGCTTCATACAGCGTACCAGCAAACGTGTTACAGTTGTCAAAAAGCACAAATGCGTAGGGAACACACGTCTCTGAGAGGTGCAGTCGAGCTATTTCATTTACTTTTGTTTTTCTTATTCTCTATCAATTTTTTAACTCCAGAGAACTTCTACACTGTCAATCCCTCAGCACTTGTTAGGAAGATGCAGACGGCTAAATCTGAAAGGACAGAGACATCCACACACAAGAGCATGCTGTACCTCAACTCCCAGTCCATCCTGTCCCCAGCAGACAATACCGGCATTTCCAGGAGTCCACAAAAGAACTCCTGCTGCTTTTGCTAGCAATGTATTCTTTTTTCCCTCAAACTAAATTTCATAGCACATAATAACCAGAAAGCCCCCACTCAGTACCTGTGCGAGCCTTCCAACAGCAGCCTGGTGTCCTGGGGACAGTCAGTGACATATTGAGTGCTCTGCTGCCCCCAGCATGCACCCCACAAACACCAGCCTGAGGATACCTGGCTTGTTTTAAGGCAGACACCAAATTCTTGAAAAACCCTGTAAAGGAAAATAACCGTGTTCCCTCTCTTAAAAAGCAAAACTCTTAAAACTCTCTCTTAAAAAGCAAAGTGCACAATGGGCCATATGGAAAGCACGGCCCGAGAAGCCTGCTTGTGATATGGGGGCTCAGAAACCTGTCTCTGCTTGGGTTGACAGTTGCAGTGTGACAGCTCATGCTGAATTTCTGACATCTCCCAGAGATACCTCCGAAACACGGCACAGCAGTCTCTGACACAGAGCACTGAGAAAGAACAGGGAGAGCCAAACACTGCTGAACCTCACAGTAACGTACTGAGCATCACTAAAGCAAAATGGGTTCTCTGAATGCTGTGACTTCCCTAGCATTAAGAAACTCTTCCACACTTATAGCAGAGTGCATGTGCAGCACAGGGAGCACACGACACCCTCCAAACTCCGTGAGCACTGCAATACAGCCGGCGGCTGCTGTCAGCACTGCCTCGGCGCAGACCTGGAAGTTACAGAAGACATCTTTAAGCGAAACCACGGCGTCCGAAGTGAGAATGAGAAGAGCGAGCGTTGAAGTAGAGCCGCGCACTTTCTCCACGCGTACCAACAGCGGCTCTGCCTAAGGAGGACGGGGCTGGGAGCCCCGCACGGCGCAGGAAGAGATGCGCCGCGGCTGAGGTCACCTCCCCCGTCCCCTCGTGTACCGGAGAAACGCTTTCAGGACCACCCGGCCCTCCTGGCCCCTCCGCGCAGCCCGGGCTCCACTCCGCGCTCCCGCAGGGGCTGCCCCCGCCCCGGAGGCCATCTGGGACGGGGCCGACGGCGGCCACATGGTCCCGGCGCCTCCCATCCCCACCGGGGCCCGGCTCCCGCGGCCTCCCGCAGGGCCGGGCCAGGTGGGAGGGGTGCCTCCGACCCGGCAGGCCCGCACAAAGCCCGACGGCTCCGCGGGGACCCCGGGTCGGGCGGGGGGGCGGCACGGCCCTGCGGCTCCCCAGGGAGCGACGCCCCCCTCCGCAGCCCGGCCCGCCGGAGCCCCCTCCCAGGGCCCCGCAGACAATGGAGCCCGCACCGCCGGCCTACTCCCCGCTTCCTGCCCGCCGCACGCCCCCTGCCCGACCTGCCGCCGCTGTCCCGCGGGCGCTCCCGAGCGGGACGGGGCGCTATCGGGCCCGGGGCGCGGGGCCGCGGCCCGGAGGCACCGGCGCCGCGGAGGCACAGAGCGGGCGGCGGCGGGCGGCGGGGCGGGGAGAGCCGGAGCTTTTTTTCCTGCCCGGCCCCTTCCCGGTGCCGGAACGGGGCCACTCACCTCCCCGGGCGGCCGCCGCAGGGAAAGCCGGAGGTCGCCGCTGCCGCCGCCGCCCGGCCGGGCCCGAAGGAGTTAAAAGGAAGGGCCGGGCGGGCCCGTCCCATTCATTAGCTGGGCGCTTTGTCTCCAGCCGCCGCCGCCGCCGCCGCGGCGCTGAGCAGGCTGCCCCGGCTCGGCCGCCACAGGGCGCGCTGCGCAGGCGCCAGGCGCGGGGGGCGGCCCCGCAACCGTCGAGCGGCGGCACGCACGACGCACAACATGTCATCCGCCGGGCCGCAAAATGGCCGCCCCCGGGGCCGCGGCGGGCGACTGTGCCATCGGGATTCGGGCAGTGGGATGCGGCCTTCTTCTCTGGGTCCCTAGGGGTGGCTGTGGCTCTAAAGGTGTCTCGGGATCGGGGCCGGACGGGAGTTGTCGGGGCTGCTCCTCGTCCCAGCTCCCGGCTGAGGCAGCCGGAGCTTCGCAGCTCGGTCGGCGGTGGCCGCGGCGGGACTCGGACCCGCTGCAGGCCCGGCCGGGTGGGCGGCTCCGCAGCACGCCAAGCGGGTGGGCGCCGCTGACCTGAGCGGCGTTCTCTCCTGTATCGGGGGATTCGATGGCTGTTGTGTATGTTTGTTTATTAAGATCGCGAATTTGTGGTCTAATAGCCTTCGAGCATTTGGCTCTGCGTAGCTGTGTGTAGCTCTGCCTGCTGCCCGCTACCTGCTTTAGGGCGCCTCACGACGTTTGGATGGGATCACCCCCGTAGCACGGGGAGAGCTGCTCCGGGTCAGGGCTGTGCGCTATGTCTGTTCCAGCTGAGCAGCGGTACTCTACGTGCTTGCCATCTGGGCGTTCTCCTGGGTAACGCCCTGCCGCTGCCCTCCTGCCCGAGGAGAGCTGCTCATGCCGTGAGGGCATTGGGTGAGCTGTGCTTCTCTGTCAGGGTGGGAGCGATGTGTGGTGATGTGCTGTTTTCTAACGCGTGTTATTCTATAGAGATGGATGAAGATGACATGTGGTGAAGCTTGAGCACTTGTTGTCGAATTCCAGGTTGCAGTCGTAGATGGCTGCTGCTTTGACTTCAGTGTCGTTGATTGCAATACAGGCAGGAGAAAAGCAGTAGTAACAGTAATGGTAAGATGCTGCTCTTTAAAACTAAATTAAGACCATGCTTAGAGAAAGAAGCTACATCTCTCCAGCCAGTGCGTTTATGCAAGTATATGTTTCTTGATCTGAGCTGTCTTTATCAGTTAGCTGTTTTTTGTTTTTTTTTTTTTTTTTTTTAATTGAACAAATGTAGTCAGAAATGTTTTATTGGGCATAGATCAATATCTGGAGGAAAACAAAAACAGCAGATCGGCTCATCCCTTTTGTTTTGGATTAGTGGAGCTCTAGAACGTATTTTCTATATCACTGTGTATGCTGTACTCTTATAGTATTTGTGTATCTAAAGGATGATTCTGTTTCAGTTGATGCTTCCTGTGGAGATCTCGTGCAAAGTCTTTTTCATTCGTGCTGCTCAGACTTGCAACAAAGTAAGTATTAAGAGTGCATGTCCTTCTACTTACAACTGACAGCATGTTTTTACCAGTACAGCTGAACTGCTAATGTAGAATATCCAGGCCAAAGTGATTTAAGGCAAAGTTACTTGTTTTCCATGTTACAACAATGCATTAATATGGCAACAGCTGTCTAAGCGCAGAATTTTGTCTTGGCCAGATTGATCAGATGGACTCAATGAAAGATGGGAACTTAGCTAAAAATACTGTTACTACTGATATGTGAACTGATAATGTGGTGATTATTTAGCACGCAGTATTACAAAATAGAAGTATATCTTCTCAAAAAAACACCTCTTAATGAAATAAAACTGTAGCAATGTTGAATTATACTTGGAATTTTGTGGGGGCTCTGAGCGTGCCGTGGAAGGCATATGAATATGTGACAGCTTTACTTTATTTTGTAGTGGCTTTAACTTTCAAGAGTTTACAGTTTATAATTGAAGAATAAAAATGTACAGTAAACTTAGACAGGAAGCCCCTGTTGTGCTCTTTCCGCTGCTTCTATCAGCATTTTTCTGAACCTCTTCATTTTTTTTCATACAACCTGTTATGAAAATGTCAGTAAGAGTTAATGGAAGTTGAAATTCACGAAAGTTGATAATTTCTTTAAATCCTAAGTTACTGATAACCAGTCAGTGTGTAGATGTATATCATATATTGTCTGGGTGAAACGGATGCAACTTTTCTCTGTTTTACAAAAATACACCGAAAGTTTAACAAAAGTCAGTCTCAACAATGTGAGCAAACTGGTACCAGAGAAATTCTTCACAAGCTATAAATTAATGTGAAGAATAAAACAAAGAGATGATGGTGATCTGATGACATGACTGCAATGAAAGAAAGCGACTGCAGTTCCTGGGGCAGGCTCCAGACTGCCTGCTTGTGGTGGGTGTTGCAGCAGTGCTGAAGAGCTAGTCTGAGGCTGCAGATTCTCCACAAAGCATTCAGTCAGGTGTAAATATGCAGGGGAAAAAAAAAAAAAAAGGGTAATCCGTTAACAAGGTGGATATTATAAAAGTCTGTGCAAAGCATCTTGACAGTAAGTAACTAAAATTCTTATTTAACCTCAAAGTATTTTCCCACCTCTGTTTTATAAAATTTTCTGTTTCAGGTTTTGTGAATAAATGCTTTTATTTGCACTTCTAACTTAACCCAACATGAATTAAAAGTGATCTGATATTAAATGAATATCTGAAATTCATTTCTCAGTCCGTGGAGTAAACTGCAGAATACCTAGCTCCCTGTTGTGTTTTGTGGAATGTTGTGAATCGGAGATCATGCTCCCAAAGAAATTGTGTGGATTCTCCAGAGGATGGGTGTTACAGGTTCAGAAAACAAGGAAATGTCACTGCAGTAACAGTAAGTAAGTAACTGTCATTGTCGATACCAGGGAGGCCATAATAAAAGCCTAAAACTGTGTGGCAGCTACACGACAGCTTAATGTCCTCTTCTACTGTGACAGAACATGAATATTCCTTAAATGTATGTTTCTCTGTCAATATCCTGTTAGAAGTTATGAGACGATTGTAGAGATTCTGTTGCTGCAAACAGAGCTTTGTGTTCTGTGGTTCCAGAGTCTCTCCAGCCACTGAGCTACTCTTGAGTTTTTCATCCATGGTAGTGATAACATTGATAGTGCAATGATAAATTGATGTAGTTCTGTCTTCCTGAATTTGTTTACTACTGGAGACACTACCAATATGCCAGCACAATGTTATGCCAGTGTTGGGAGCAGTAAGCATTTTGCTGGTGTTACCTTGTTTTAGCAGAATTTATCTCTAAAATTGCTCTGATAAGCTTATTTAATATCCAAATCACTCAAGCCTTTAATTTCATCATAAACAACTTATATTGCATTTTCCATGTGAAATCATTAAGACAAAAACCATATTAAATCATAATTCTTCACACTTGAGCACAAATAATTACTGCCTCTTGTATGCACTGAGATAATATATTAAATAAAGCAAGCTTTTTAAAAAAAAAAAAAAATTTTTTTTTTGGCTTGTATAGACTACATCCTCTTCCAGGACTCTGTGTAGACAGTGGTGACTCAAAACCTGAAGATAAAGATCAGTAGTACTAAATTCAGAAGTCCAATTTGGTATTGCAGGGCTATGGTTTCTAAGAACACTTAACATAAGAGAGTGCTTATATATTTAGCATATGTACTCCATAAACTTCAGTAGGCACTTGGCTATACTTGTCATATCCAAGCTGTCAAGCTGGATGGTCAGAAAAGAAAGAGTGAACGATCACACAGTGGTTGTGTGCAACTTAAAGCAATATGCACTGTCAAAACCATGATGCCTTTGTGCTTTCCTGTTAATTACCTAATTTGTTATAAACATCTGGCTAATCTCTATATCATCTTGTATTAATGGCACATCAGCAGTGTGTGTAATTTTGGCAAGGAGTTGTACTATGACACGATATTCAGAGGACTTATTTGTGCTTGGCCTTTGTGTGGGGTGAGGATGATGCTGGAATGCATCCATCAGGAATATTCCAGTTGAAGATCCTACTTTTGTGGCATGGGTTTTTGGTTTTGTGGTTTTTTGTTTTTTGTTTTTTTTCTTTTTTTTTTTTTTTTTTTTTTTGTGTGTGTGTATGTGTGTGTGTGTGTGTGTGTGTCGGTGGTTTTTTTTTTGTTGTTGTTTTCTTTTGTTTTTTGCATCTTAAGATTCTCTCTTATATGAAGCCATACTATATATACTGATTTGTATATATGTGATTTTGGAAGATATCTATGAATAATAGAGAGATGCATCAGGCACTGGCCAAGGTAGCCAGGTCTGAGACAAGGCAAAGAAAACCTGCTCAATACTGCTTACTTGTTATCTGATACATACAAGTATCAAATTTCTTTGAACACAGCATATCTTTCTTTGGATTCTTTTTCTTTTTTTTTTTTTTTTCCCTGAAGCAATGAGGTACTCCTGGTTTTCTTGTTTGTGTTTGCATGCATATCATGTATTGAGTCATGACTGACTTTTTTCATTTCATGTTTTCTTCCCTGGATTTTGATGTTGCATTGCTTTGTAGCCCTTCCCCACGTAGGTGAGAAGACAGGGCTTTAATTCTGAATGAGCCCATCTATTTTGGGATTACTTCAGAAGTAAATGACTAGGGATTCACAGCAACGCTTCTTCCACTGCGTATCATCTTAATCATGTGCAGACCAGGTCTGTCTTCCAGAATGAATGAGGAAGAGGTAGTAAACTAATTAAGACTGGATTTGTCTCATTTCTGATTGAATTCTAATTTAATTATATAAGAGCTGCAGTATTAACTCAGTATTAACACTGGATTCTTTCTTGGTAGTTTACCTTTGTGAGTGACCTAACTTGGAAGAGTGCTCAGAATTTGCGCTTTGTTACATGTTAAGAGTTTTGATACTGACAGCAAGAAATTAGAAATAAAGTAACTCTGAGATGTATTAAATTAAGTTTCTGAGTTATCAGACTTGATGGAGGCAGCGAGCAAGATTTCTTTCTTTCTTTGAATAAAGGCTGAATCCAGGATACAGGAGAGGAACAGGGAGTAGAAAAGGGTTGTGAGAAATTAAGAATATGTGTGTAGTCATGATGTTTACGTGGTCTGTGCTTGCTTAAATTCATTCAAATTCATGTTAAATGAAAAATCTTCCAAAACCCAAACCTGATGAGAACAAGCATCAAAAATGATGATTGGTATGAGAAATATATTGTGTCAAGTCTTCTTTGGCAGAGCACTTTTTTTTTTTTTTTTTTTTTTTTTTTTAATCTCTGTGGCTGCTTTTTGATATTCATTTGCATAAATTGTGCTCATCTGGTTGTGGAGTGAGGTAGTTCAGAGGGCTAATGAGAAAATCATTCACCTTTTTATGAAGGATTATTAGGATGGCAGTTACCGTTTAGCAAGGATAATTTCCCAAAAAACTTTTGCAGGTAAAGCTACTGTACAGAATATATCGAAGGTGCCAAATGTTAAATAGCAGCAGTTGAATAATTAATGCTGGAGAGACGATGATGAGAGATGGGGTAACATTATTTCTTTGTATATAGCTCAGTCTGCTCTTTTGTAAATAACAGTATCATTATAAATGAGTGCAAAGAATTTTACTCACAGGGTTGGGATTTTTGTGTTTTGTTTTTATTTATTTTTTTAAAATAATCAGCTTTAAAAAGCAACATAGATTTCAGATTTTCTTCTCCCTGATCTGCTTCTCAATCTTACCTCAAAACAATCCTGAAATTTCAGCAATGTGGTGGATGCAAGTTCTGTGGTTATAAGTCCTGATTCACAAAGGATGCATGTGTGGTATCCTCTTCATTAAACACATTGCTGTTCTGCTATTCAGACAACCTACAGATAAGCAAATAGGTTAGCCCTGTGCTTTTGGTGCAGCATTTTGTGAAAATAAATTACTGATTTATTTTTTTCTGAAGTGTAACATATATAAGCTTTAATATATCTATATTAAATATATTAATATATATATACATATATATATTAAATATATATATATCTTAATACTGTTTTTTTCTTTTTTCCCATCTTTGCAGTGTCTGCAGGAGTTCAAGCCCCATCTTCCTTCCATCATACAAATGTTATGAGCACATTTTGCAGAGATCTGTATAACTGCAAAATCTCAAAGGTATGTGGTGTTAAAGGAGTCAAGACAGAAGAAGGATAAAGAAGGAAGAAATTAGGTTTCCCTGTCAATTCTGCCTCTCCAAGAATTGTTTAACATATTGTTCTGGTTGCAAGTGACAGGCTACAAACCTCTTCTTGCTGTAGGCAACTCCAAGCTGTAGTTCATCCAAATGCTTAAATGAAATAAGGTAAGGGCCTTTGCATAGCAGCTGTACAGCTTAAAGACCACTCTGTCAAATGGTCTTCAGTATTATCTATAGATAACATTCCACAGGACTGCTTAGTAGATGCAAGTTACAGAGCTATTAGCGAGCAGTGATGTAGCTTGAGTTCTGGTGGAACTCAGATGATAAAAGGGCTCAGTCTTTATCAGTACCGCAAGAGGCACTGACAGAAAGTGCAGTCTGTTCTGAAACTCATTTCAGAGAAGGCTGTTGTTTTGGATCACCTTGAACTATTCTGGAGAAATAAAGGGTCACCTTATCAATTTTATAAAGAACCACTTTCTTTACAGGGAAGAGAAGGATGATGCATATAGAACGTTTGTGCGGCCAGAAGAAACAAAACAAACTTTGTTTCTATAGAAGTTAGTGAATGTAGATGAACACCTATATTATTTCATCTTAACCCTTTGTCAAAACATGTCCAGAAGAATTAAAAAGGAAAAGGCATGCTGCTGCTTAGCCAAAGAACAAAGAAGATATTCATTAATCCTCTAGTGGTAAAAAGGCTCAAGACTTTTCTTCCATATTCAAAGCTAAAAAGTTTCATTCTTATTTTGGAATTGTCAGCTAGGGCTTTTGACCATAAATCCCACTCAATCTTGTACAAAACAGAAATAAGTCTTTCTGCCAAAGTATTGATGATATCTAGCGGATGGATCAGTGGTACATAGGGTACATGGATTTGTCTTTCAGTTAAGTAGTTCCCAAGGATCAGCTAACAGATGCAGGGAAACTATACCACTTCATAGACTGAGGGCAAATGTGGGTTTCTCAGCTTGTTGCTGTAATGTGTTGAACCCAGTAGGGTTGAGCATCCTATCCACAGTGCATGCTATCCTGGCTTATGAGGTTTGGGAACAACCTTTCTCTTGAGAACATCTGGCCCTGCACAGTCATGCTCCTTGAGTAATTTGTCAGTGCACAACTGATGAGGTAAGTGAAATGGAAAAGGATGTCCCTGCAGGATGTGAGGAACCATAGTAACGTTGTATATTACTAGACAGTAACGTTGTATATTACTAGACAGTATTCCAGGGAGAATATTAATTATGTATTGGTGAGTGTGAAGAAGTAAACCACACAGTAGGGAAGCCAGGCTTTGGAAACTTTATGTGGATCGTCTAGTTTGCAGAATTGTTCAGAGCTGTTGCAAGTCTTAGAAAGATTAGGCAGAATTGTCATGATAGGATGAAGACCCACAAATGTATGCTATGGCAGTCCAAAATCTGTATTTCAAGATTCTTGCAGGTTCAAAAGAATGTATGGAGTGGGATCTGGCTCTTTCTTTTCATTTTGGCAGCCTGCTGTTCATACAGGGAGAGGAGAATAGAGTGGAGTTCCACCAGTGAAGAATAGCAGCACTGCCAAAATTTAAGTGCAGCAGCAAGTTGGTCTCTTTTAATCTGGAACAAAGATGTTGCTCTGCAGGTGATATACTTGAGCTGTGTAGCAACGTCTCAAAACTTCATTCTGCAAGGGAAGAGGATGCCAAAGCGGATGAACAGCCTTTATGTTTATGTGATTCTTTCATCCTTTCAGGTATTTCTCTTGAGAATTTGTTAACAAGCACAGGTGAAAGCTGGTAAGCAGGAGATATCCCATCTATAAAGATCTTTCTTGCAGAGTGAGTCAGTATTGGCAACTTGAATCAAAACTTGATGCTGCCAAGCAAGGGTGTGAAGATTGTGATGAAGTGGGATCAAAACCACACACTCACTGAGCTAGTGCCAAAAAAAAAACCACCAAAACTGTGAGGGTCTTGCTGCTCTCTGAACTTTTTCTTTTTGCTTGACATTATGTGGCATCCCGTTAAAGTTGTTGCCTCCTTTTCCAAAAATGGAATGAGTACTATTTTGAGGCGCTACATCTCACTAGTGAGATGGAACAGGCAAGGAAACAAATCTTTGAGATTATGGAAGTGTGTGTTCAGGTCTTGTCAAATATACCAGATAATACCATGCACTGTTGCATTTTGAAAGAATGAGCTAACCTACTGGTATCTAACATTGAGGATCCTGATCTGGTAGGCTACAACGTCAGTGAGAGGTGGTTCATGTCAGGCCTGTTAGGATCTTTGTGCTGTTGCTGTGAAGCAGTGTATCAAGATTATGTGCATTCTGTGTCAGAGCCTAGGTGGTCTGTAGGAGAAGTCCTTATACCTCACTCATTCCTGAGGATAATCGAGGGTATCAAGAGCAGCAATGAACCCTGCCCGTAAGTTATTAATTTGAAGTGGAGTCACCATCTTCAGCACAGGCACCAGGAAATGAAGTTCAGCAGTCTTTTGAAACTGCAGAGAATCTAAGGATCCTGGAGGCCTTTCTGTATTATGCTAAAGTAAATTAGAAGACTCCCATTTCAGATCTGGAGATAGGAGATCGGGTCCTGGCACTGTAACACATCATTCTGATTGATTCAGGCTGTGGTATAACTCCTTGGTCAATAGGTTATGGCAATCAATGATGTTGCCTCTATAATGAAATGATTTTGGAAATGCTGCTTCCTGGTTTTATCAGCATGAAGTTTCAGACATGACACATCATGGTTACCAAACATGGCCTACGTACAGGGCAGGGAGAGCTGGAAGATGAATCTCAAGAAAGTCACATAAGTAGAATGCTGGAGAATAAAGCATAAGATCAGACAGCAAAAAGATAGTTAAATGGAACAAATACATATATGGAGCGCTGTCTTACTGAAGGGCTGTGCAGCTATGGAATGCTGTAATATACCTGGCAGAAAAAAGAAGCTGGAAGAGTGCCAGACTGACTTGTGCATCCATCAGACATGGGAAGAGTATGGATGCCATCAAGCTCTGTGGAAAGCTTGTCTCCAGTTGTAAAGCATTTGTACAGCTGCAGGACAGATACACATGGATTATCACTTAAAAGATGGAAAAAAACATGTTTTCTATCATAGATGGAGTTTTATTATACTTATTATTAGCTTCTTGACAGTATTTATCATTTCTAGTTATTTTTTACAACTACACCATGCAGTAACATACACGATTTACAGTGCTGCTTCCTATTTACTATTGCAGGCTGAATTCCAGTGCAACTTCATTCATTTCAACTGATCTGCTGTAAAATTTCTGAGACTGATGGTATGCTTGGTCATATAAGTGATAAAACCAGAGAGCAATTCCTTAAAAGCAGCACACAACCAGATGACCTATACAGTTTATCCAATCTTTATGTATTTTTTTTTAATTGAGAAACTGAGATTGCTGAGTCAGTTTGATCCTAAAAACTTTATCTAGGTTGAGTGCAACACTCAAATGTTGGCTATTGTAAGCTCCTGCTTTGCTAGAAATCAGCCCAGTGGATGGTGCCTGATAAGGAAAATGAGTTGGAAGCTACTGATGCTACCTGTTGTACAGAATTTTTTGAAATAAGTGACTTAAGCTCTCTGGATATTGATTGACTTTCCACAACTAAGTAATGATAGGTGTATCTATTTCTGATCTTTTAGGCACAAATTTACTGTTAGAGTGACTGCTGCTGGGAGCAGGCAAACAGCAGTGGTAGAAACAGGGTGAGAAAGAATTGGAAGGTTGTTCTGAAGTGATGGTCGCTACAGAGGGGCAGCAAAGACTGTACCCATTCTTTGCTGCTTTCGTTCCTACTGCACACAGGACCCGTTCTGTGAAACATTAGTGCTGGTCCTAGCCTGGCTGGCTCAAAAGGGGTTCTTTGAGTGCGTGGGTGCAGCTGTCCTATCGACACCCACAGGAAAATCCTTCACATATCCAATAGGGCTATAATGTCTTTCCTAAAAACGATACATAAAAAGAAAGGGCAGCCTTTGCAGGGAGAGCTACAGCTGACACAACTGTGCTCGGCCAAAACGTAAGGTTGTTATCGTTACCCAAAAGAGTAAGTATGACCCAGAGACCCTGGGAGAGCAAACTGAAACGAATTTTCTAAGCTCTAGCTTGAACTTTCCCCAAAGAAATAATAAATACCGATTACTCGTAGCTCGGAGACCTGGTTTTGCAGCCCTGACCTCTGCCTGCTTCTCCCTTTTTTCTCCGTTTGCTGCCGTTTAAATTCCCCTGCGTTGAGGTACTTAAACGCGCGCTGAGGCGCTCTGGTGCCGCCAGCGCGAGTGCTGCCCGCAGCTCCGGGCCGCGCGTCGCCGACCCGTCCCCTGAGGCGCAGCGCCGCCGCTTCCCGCCCCGTGCCGCCCGATGCCTCCACCAGGCCCCGCGCTGCGCTCCGCCATGGAGGGGCGGGGACGGGGGGAGCGGCGGCACAGGCCCCGCCTGGTGGCAGCAGCGGCGGCGGCAGCGGCGGGGCTGGGCGGTGCCTGGCGCCCTCACGTCCCTTCCCTCTCCCTCCCCCCCCCGTCGGCGCAGCGCTGTGGTGAAGCCGCATTGTTTGTGCCGAGGGGGGAGGGGAGCTGCCGAGCCCGGGGAGCCGAGCGCCGAGCCCGCAGCCGGACCGCGACCTGCGCCGCGCCTCACGAATGCGCTGTGCCCGGCGGCGGCAGCAGCCCCGTACCCAGCGCCGGGTACCCGCCGCCGCGGGCAGCGCGGCCCCTTCAGCGCCCGCTCGCCCGCCCGCGACCGCCGGACGCGGGAGCAGGCGGCAGCAGCGCCGGCGGGACCGCCGCCATTAGACCGGCCGCAGCGTCGGGCGCAGAGGCGGAGCGGGAGGTCTGTCAGCCGCGCTCCGCGGCTCCCACAACGTGAGTGAAGCCGGGCGGGCGGCGTGGCGGCCGAGCCGGCCGGTCGGTCCGGAGGCGGGAGGGGAAAGGGAGGACGGGCGGCGAGGCCGGGCTCGGCGCAGGGGGACGGTGCGGAGGACGAGCGGCCGTGGGCGAGGCGGCGCGGGGGGAAGCGGAGCGCGGCGCTCTGGGGGAGGCGCCGCTGGAGCTGTTTTGTCAGCCGCCATATTGTGGGCCGAGTATTTTCGCGGAGGGGAGGGAGGCGACTGTTGGGAAGGGCTGAGATGATGGGCCCGGGCAGGAACCATCCTCCCGGGGGCCGGGAGGGGGGAACGCCGGGGCCAGGCAGGAACCATCGGGCGGAGGGGTGTGTGCGCGCTGCGGGCTCCCTGGGCGTGGGCAGGAAGTGCTCGCGCAGGAGCCGGCGGGGGCGGATCGTGGGCGTGGGCAGCCCCGCGCGGGTTGGCTGTGGGGCGGGCAGGGCCGGGCAGTTGCGGCTGTGGCGGGACGGCGGGCGGGATGCGGGAGGCGCGCGGCCCGCGCTGCGTTCCCCGAGCCGAGCCGAGCCGAGCTGAGCCGAGCCGAGCCGAGCCGAGCCGAGCCGCCGCGGACGCTAATTCTTTGTGTTCCCCTGAGGGCAGTGCTGCTGTCCCGCCGCTCTGCCCTGGGTGGTGTCTTTCCCGTATGCAGCAAGCGGTGTTTGCCTGTCCGGCCTCATTGTCTGGGACTAAAGAGCATTCCTGTGTCTTTCTCTTTATAATCGTCTGCATGAAAGTGTCCATTGAGAGCGGCATTCCCTTTTCCTTTGAGCAGGGGGTGCGGGGACCCGAGGCAATTGTTTTGAAGAGGAGGAAGGTAACTGGGACAGAAATTGTGACAGGAATTTGTGATCAGAACTGTGTGCTGTTGTACTTTTCCTGTTGGCTTTAGCTCTCTTACGTCTTAATAAAAAATATGTTGGCCTCCTGGTATGCATTCTGCACAGACAGCTGTCTGCGTGCACTGTTGTTGGTGAGGGGCAGTGCCGGTTGTGCCTCTGCCCAAGCAGCTGATGGAGCACTGAGAAGGGAGCTGCAAACTTCCCTGTTTGATCTGTGTTGTTCTGAAAGGCCGAAAAGTGCTAACAAGAATCGCCTCCTTTTGCTGAAGGTGTGATATCGTCAGTATAGAATGGAGCTGATGTCATAGTCCAGCATTCTTCAAACTTCTATGCATGGTCTTCATTCCTGCGGGCCTGCAGGATGTTGGAGACGCCTGCAGGATGTTGTTGGAGACGGAAGAAAGGTGTCTGCTAATTAACAAGGAAAAGCAAAGTAATTGCTGATCATGAATTCTACATGCAGAAATGCAGTCATCCTTCAGAATATTCATAGGACACTTGCTGATACTTTTCTTTGGGGGAGGATGAAAGATAAAAAGCTGCCACTTCTTTGGCTTCTGGGACATTGAAGTTATTAATGCTTAAGTTTTTATGAAATCAAGCCAGATTAATACTGGTTCCAATTCTGTGTTTGCTCTGTTACAGTTTGTGTGGTATCCGTACTCCCAGGAAATTATCATCTGCTTTGTGATTTAGTTTTATTTATAGACGAGTATTACAAGGAAGATGCTTAGATGATGGCTCAATCATTTTTTTAGCATTCTGATTCATACAGTTTGACATTTATGACAGTAATCCTAAGCAAGAATGTGCTTTAAAATATTTTCTTCCTGTTCTTTTTGCCTTCTTGCAGTTGTGCTTAAGAATTTCAAGGAGAGGCAGAGAGCATGGAAATCTAGCTTTCCACTCCTTCCCTTACTTCTGGGCTAGGCTTGATAATTAAATGTGGACAAACAAGCACAGATTTTCATTTCTGAAGGCTACTTTCCATCTCTCTCAGTAATTAGTTCAAAACTGCCCTCATGGACATCTTGGCTGGTTGTGTGTCTGTTCATGGTTGTAGGGTGAGATACTAAAAAAGAAAACACCTTTACATCTGGACAAAATTGAAGTTAAATGTGAGGTAAACACAATTTAAATGATTTGGGTTTTTTGGTTTGTTTGTTTTTTGTTGGCTAAATGCGATACCTTTACCAAAATATGCCATAAAATGCAACCACACTGTCATGAGTGGGTTGCTGTACATTTACACGTCAGTGTGTTTGAGCTGAAAAATCTTCATTCATGCTGATAAACAAATGTGAATCACTGTTATCTTTCCCCTCTGCATTACAACATCTGTTGTGAAACTGTGGAAACTGACTTCTAATTTCAGATAAACTGTTGTTGTTTCTGGTTTTTGAACCTTTTATAATAGTGTTAGCGGATTAAACTTTTTCTGCAGTTAAATAAACGATCTAACTTAATCTTATGTTTTTGAACAGAAGTAAGCTATCATTTCTTTCATGCTTGTTTGAAGAGGTGGTAGAATCTTTTTTTTATTAATCTCTTGTTTATAAAAACGATAAGAAAAAACGTGATGATTAAGCACTGGCTTTTGAGCTCATGCTGTAAAAATAAGTACTGAGAATTAGGAGATACATACACAGAAGTCAGATCTGTGAGGAAGGTACTTAACTCACACATGAATAACGAGGAGCATAGATTCATTTTTAAAATTTCTTCTTGGGAAAAGAAGATTGGTTTGAGAGCAGATAAGACTCTAAAGGGCTACTTTTAATGCTAGCTGCCTGCATTACCTTGCCCTCCATTAAAAGAAGTTCCTTCAGCACTACGAGAGTAGACTTGTTGAAAGTGGCATCACAGACTGACAAAAAAAAAAAGTATTTTGCGTGTCAACCATTCTGGTCTTTGCTGTTTTCTTCGTGAAGTAATTAGACTGCTCTGACAATAATCATGCTTTGAGCTCTTTTGACATGTTAATGTGAGTAGAATTATTTTAACTAATAGAAGAATGAAGTGCAGAATTTCTGATTGACAAGAATTAAAATGGTGAGGCTGTAATAATAGTTTAAGCAGTTAATTAAAAATCAATGTTTTTTTTTATTACTGATTTATCAGAGAGAGAAAAGGAAAAAGATAGAAGAGCCTTGTAGGCTTGAAATTAATAGTTCTGTAATATTTTTTCAAACTTCATAGAAAAGAAATGTCTGAAAGGGTGTAAGCATGGAAGCTCTCAGTTAGGATCTTTGTAATCAAATTGAATTCCTGTCCTAGTTATGGTGTTTCATAGGGAGGAAACTAGCTAGGTTTTTTGGTATGGTGGGTGTGACAGAGGCTGACCTTACTCCAATAGGTGTCTTGAAACTAGAACGCTATGTCAATTTAATTGTATAAAGAGCTTGGAATTGGATTGAAAGACTGGAATTTGTTTGCCTACTCTTTTTGCTATGAGGAAAACTATGAGAATGAGTTGAGGGATGAGGGTGTGTATCTGTGTACATGCACACACAGCTGCACATTTTGTATGTTTTCAGTACAAATCAAATTTTCTTTACAAGTTGAGTATTTCCTAACTGCGGTCCATATTTCACAATGTTTTTATTATGAGCTGAATTCTGTTCTTGTCATTCTGTGCACATCACTGTATTTGAAAGTTTTGACACTGAATGGGATTCAGCTTACTAACGTGGGAGTTAGATAAAATAATAAAATGTACATTGATTATAACTTTCTGGATATGGAGATGTTGTAATTATTAAATACAGAAATTGTTTCTGTGGATATGTAATTAGGTAAAGAACTGTAGACTCAAAAGAATTTTAGTTTAGAAAAGCTTTGTCAACTTTGGAGGTGTGCATATTTTTCTATCTATGAGAATGGGGGTAATTTTCCTAGTAAAAAAGGAGTTGTTGTTATGATTTTCGAATTGCATGGGATAAAGTTGTAGGGAAGACTTACTTTTCTTCCAGGATTATGTCAGTTCTTTTGGAGGTGAGATCTGGAGGAAAAAAATTTCAGGCTGTTGAGAAAAACTGCACATACGCAGTGTATTATAGTGTATTGTACTTTAATACTGTATTAAAGATTTTCCTACAGTGTAACAGTTATCATTTTTATCTTAGCATTTTTATTATTGTCTTATTAAGAGTTGTTACGGTTAGCTCTTCTGAAGCACTTATATATTATGTACTATGTATAGTTGTGTTTGCTTAGGTAAGCTGGGTCTTTTATATTTTATTTTATTTCCTTTTCCGAAAGGCTGGACAGGTCATTTGGGGACCTTAGAACTCAAGTTCCTTCTTGCTATAAAAAAAACTAATCTTACATAAATTTTCAGAGTTTATAATTTTAATTGTTACTCTCGTTTTAGGGAAACATTACCAAATGAGGAGGAAAGGAAGATGTCATCGAGTATCGGCAACAAGGCATTCCTCTTCCCCATGCAGTATTAAGCACTCCCCTACACGAGAAACCTTGACGTACGCTCAAGCTCAAAGAATGGTTGAAATAGAAATTGAAGGTCGCCTACATAGGATCAGTATCTTTGATCCTTTAGAGATTATATTAGAAGATGATCTTACAGCCCAGGAAATGAGTGAATGCAACAGCAATAAGGAAAATAGTGAAAGGCCACCAGTTTGTCTAAGAAGCAAACGGCATAAAAACAACAAAGTGAAAAAGAAAAATGAAGCTCTTCCTAGCTCACATGGCATACCTGCTACAACAGCTCCTCTTCCAGAACCAAAAGTACGGATTGTTGAGTACAGTCCCCCTTCAGCTCCTCGGAGACCTCCGGTTTATTATAAGTTCATTGAGAAGTCAGCAGAAGAACTTGATAATGAAGTCGAGTACGACATGGATGAGGAAGATTATGCGTGGTTAGAAATAATTAACGAAAAGCGGAAAAGCGATGGAGTGTCAGTTGTTTCCCAGAACATGTTTGAATTCCTCATGGATAGGTTTGAGAAAGAGTCCTATTGTGAGAACCAAAAACAGGGTGATCATCAGTCTTTAATTGATGAAGACGCGGTATGTTGTATATGCATGGATGGTGAATGTCAGAACAGCAATGTAATCCTGTTTTGTGATATGTGTAATTTAGCAGTACATCAGGAATGCTATGGGGTGCCATATATACCCGAGGGCCAATGGCTCTGCAGACACTGTCTGCAGTCCCGTTCTCGGCCTGTAGACTGTGTGCTGTGCCCAAACAAGGGAGGTGCCTTTAAAAAGACTGATGATGATCGTTGGGGACATGTTGTGTGTGCTTTGTGGATTCCAGAGGTTGGATTTGCCAATACAGTTTTTATTGAGCCAATTGACGGTGTCAGGAACATTCCCCCAGCCAGATGGAAGTTAACGTGCTACCTCTGTAAACAGAAAGGTGTTGGTGCCTGCATCCAGTGCCACAAAGCAAACTGCTACACTGCATTCCATGTGACATGTGCTCAAAAGGCTGGTCTGTATATGAAAATGGAACCTGTGAAAGAACTGACTGGCAGTGGGACAACGTTCTCTGTAAAAAAGACTGCCTATTGTGATGTACATACTCCGCCAGGTTGCATACGGAGACCTCTAAATATTTATGGAGAAGCTGAAATCAAAAACGGTGTTTGTAGAAAGGAGGGATCAGTCAGAACTGCTAGGTCTACATCAAAAGTCAGAAAAAAGACAAAAAAAGCCAAGAAAACAGTTGTTGAACCCTGTACAGTTATGCCAACCGTATCTGCTCCTTATATTCCCCCCCAGAGGTAAGCAAACCATCCAAGTTAGAGAAAGCTTTACTTAATTTATCTGTTTAATTTTATGCTGTTGCTTTTAGATGGAGGCTTAAAAGTTTTTGTCCGTTTCTGTTATGTCTTAAAGATCATGCTCAGAAGATTAATGTAAATTATGTATGATGCACTTCAGCAGTAATATGTTAAAAATGCCGTAACTTCTTTAGAGGAGTTAATAAGAGTCCTGTCTTTTTTTTTTTTTTTTTTTTTTTTTTTTTTGTCACACCAAATCATGTTGTTTGTTCTCTTGTTGTCTGCTGTACTTTTGAAAATTAACCACAGAATTCAAAATAGCATATGTACTTGACCTTTATTTTAAAAAGCCAGGCTCAAAGTTAACTGTCTTTTACAAGCTGGTAATCTGAACTTCTTTTCCTAACTAAAGAGTTCCAAAATGAAAAACAGGTTTGCGTGTATAGGATTTTTATACTGTTTTTAGTTCGTCTAACTTAAATATAAGCATGTACTGTATGATCTATGCAGGTACAAAAAGTCTTCCAACAGGTATTTTCCTTGTGGTACAAAATAATTTCTCAGGAAGTTTTTCCTACATCTTCTTTTACTTTTTGCAAATGCAGTAGCGTTTATGAAGAGTTGTGTGAATTTGGTACCCATCATATTTCAGCTAATGCAGTCTCAGTTGTGTAACCCAACATGAATGTTCTCTGCCACACAATTATGCTAGCAGATCTGTAGTCCCATAACATTGGTACAGTTTTTCTCGTTGAACAAAAACTAATGTGTGTGCAAAAGAGTTTTAATCTTAACACCATGTGTTTGCTTATGAATTTATCCTTTGTAAGAACTTCTGCTGATTCTTTTATTAGCGTATCACAGTTTTCGCAGAAGCTGTTACTTAAGTGCAAAATGTAAACATTGAAGCTGAAGGATGCCCTTTACATTTAACATGCCATATTTTTATATTTTAGCTGTGATGATCAGGGGGCTGGCAGATGGCTCTAGATCTGGTGAGGCTAGTGAAGTGATGCTTGAGTGAAAAAGCAGGGATGTTATAAAGTCTGTTTTCATATGTAATTAACAGAGTTGGAAAATAATGGTGGCTTTGGAATGCTTTTTATTTCAGGAGTTAAAGATTTTTTAAATGAATTTTGGTTAAATTAACTACATTGTAGTTTGAAAGAGCAGTGTCATCTCACTTCAGATTTCTGTCACTTAAACTGAGTTATAATGCATTTCAGCAGTGGAAATATATATTTATGGGATTTGAGCAATGGAATAAAGCTCTGGGTTAGAAAAACAAGGTTTTGGCTCTGCTGAGCATTTCAAGCATGATGTGCTAAGAAGCGTTAAATTGGACTGTTGGGACTAAAACCAAGTTTGTCTTTATTATTTGTTTTGTTTTCAGCATCTACTACAGCATTATATTTGTTTAACCCTTGAATTAAGTTCTTACTGAATTTAATAACAGTACATAAAAAGTTTCTCAGTAGAGGCACCAGTTCCATGTGCGGGTTAATCATGTATGAGGCTCTTAAGATACTATGAATAAACCATGCTTTTTGAAAGCTGGCTGCCAAGCGTCAGGTAGTGAACATTTAAAAACTAGTTAAATTAATCTGAACAGTGTTTTGAGATGGCAGTCCTTTCCTGTAATAAGAATTACTGATGTATGTAGGTACTTAACTGACTAATTTTGTCAGCCTTTCGCTCCCGTGTGATCACATTATCAGATGATTGCACTGTTCTGTGTCGTGGCTTACTTGGTAACATTGAATTATTTTTGTTAAGTGATGTGCCAGTGAAGGGCTTAAGTTGACAGTTAGCAATAGGTATTGTTGTTGGAACTAATACTGTTGTCCATGGGAAAAAGTTTATAGAAATGATTTGCCTTTAACTGAATGAAGACCATCCTGATTGATTTGTATTTATGTCTACTTGCCAAAAGAAAAAACATGGATTAAATGAGAGTTGAGAATTGGAATGTGTATTCTTAATTGTAGCTTTGGCAATTCTTCCCACAGATAACTTTTGTTAAAGTCAGACCCTGACACAGAAAGGATGCCATCATCAGAATTTTTTAACAGTGTTTTTGGTTGCCAGGAACAGGTATATAAAGACAGTTGATTTCTAGATTTCTTTCTGCTGAGAGATTCCGTGTATGTTCAGATTCATGTTACTGCATAGATGGATATTTGTTGAGATAATACATTTTAATGCTACTTTATATCATAAATGTAAAACAAAAAAAAAAACCCACCCATAGTTTAGAACTGCTTTAGTTTTTAACGTTGTTATAAATTTTATTGTCGTCATGCAAGAAGACTCTTAAATATTCCTTTTGATAAGAATAAACTTAGTCCTGGAAAACTGATATCTAAATTAAAAGCGAAATAGAAATGGGCACATGAAAAGGTGAAGTTTTCTTTTCCCAACTCTCAGTCGTCCAATTTTTTGTTCTTTTTTTGTTTAGAAAAGCTGTGTTTTTGATGTGGAATAGTTAATACTAATTCATACTAATAATGAATTATGTGGAACATTTTGCATCTGTCTTCATTTAAATTGTACCTTTAATCTATTCTTAAATACATGGATTTTTTTTTTTCTTTCCTTGGAGTTGGAATGTGATTTGCCTTTCCAGAAAACTTTAAGAAGAGCAACTAAACTATTCACATTTAGAGAAGAAACGCATATGCTCCAACTGTAAACACTGGTGCTTTTTCTTTTTCCTTAAAAAAGTTGAAATGAACCTTGTTCTTTACATCTGTGAAGACTGAGGAAATGCCCGGGGAAGTGTTTGGTTTGGTTTACTTTCTTCATCATTAATACCTACACTACGTGTGTCCATGGCTGGTTTTTAGAGATGGTAGCTGCAGTACTACATACATGCTAATTTGAACATACCTGCTTGGAGAAACTCCTCTTGCCATTTGTGTTTATTTGAATGTAGTAGGAATATATTTTGTTTCCTTATATGTATAAGGAATGTATGTCAAAAAATGAACATTTTACTAACACCATTTTAGTAATTCTGTTCTCTGAAATGCCTGTATTCATTTTAAGATACGTTAAAAATAATGTTGTAAAACAGTATCATCATTTCTACACAATTTTTTTGTAACTCATGAATTTCTGTATCTACTTCTCTGTTCCTTAGATTCTCCTGTGAGTGGCTTTGAGACCTGTATTCTTTCCAGTTATCATTGTTTCTTAGCAAATATCGTGCTTGAAACTGTTTGCTGTCAAATTATATAATTAATAATAGGAGATGAATGTTTGCTTCCACTTCTTTATTTCTGCGCATCCATTTATTGTGCCTCAGTTTTTCAGGATGTCTGTACTTGAGTGTCTGCTTCCAGAGATGTGGTGTGTCATGTTAGAGTGTTGAGGTGAATTCATTGCTTTCTTCTCAGTAAGTTGCTTAGCACTTGGAGTAAACCAGGGGAAATTTCCTGGGTGGATATGATTTGCATCTGGCCTTCTTGGCTGTGTAAATGTTCTTCTTCAGTCAGAGATTCTATTCAATTCTTCTTTAAATATGAAGTATTGAATTGTCAGTTATGCTGTATGGACAGTACTTGGCACACTGACACAGTAGTCAGAGTGCAGGGCCTCCTGCAGCCACCAGCTGATCAGTCGGGAAGCAGTGGCAGATCGGTTTTGCACCAAATGTGTGCGGGGCTCATACTTCACTGAATGGTATGTGGTGGTTGAATTGCACGTAGTTGTATAAATATTTGAGTCTTTTTTTTCCTTTTCTTCTAATTAAGTATGAAAAGTGTTTTCTTTATATTTCAGGTCTTAAAACTTCCAAGGTAGGAAATAGTGATACAGTTGAGTTGACAATCGAAGTCTCGCTTTCTGTTTGAGTTGCCCAATACTGGCTTTGTACTCCTTTTCTTGTGAATTGTTCCCCTGTTGTTGGCTATCGTTGTCCTTTATAATAGTTGCTTTACCCTGTGAATAAGTTACAGTTCTTCACAGCAAACATTACAGTGTTTCTCTTATTCTTCAGTGCTTGATTCTGTGGTACAAATACCATAATTTTGGTGTAGTCTCTTGATCTTGTGTTGTTAAAGAGGTGTTCAAAATGTGATTGTTTTATGCAAAACAAAGTCAGTATTAGTATTTGTGTCCTTGAAAAAATGCTGTATAACTAGGATTTTGTAGGCATATACCTGAGGAAGAAGTAAATAAAATACTTAATCTTCAGTATTTTGGAAACACGCTCTGAGATCCTTTGTAATATTTATGCAGGTATTTTGTTAACTGGAAGCAGATACTTTCATTTTTAGTTTCTGTTTCTACATGATGTATATGTAGTGCCTGAAATTAAGAAAGCACTTGAAATGCTATATCAATGCAGAAACAATTTTTTTGTTGTTATTGTTTCATAATTTATCTACTAGAATTTCATAACAACGTAATGCTGTCATGGTATACTAATCACAGGAATCTTCGTGGCCTCTAAAATGAAATATGGACCAGAAAAATAACTGAAGGGAGAGTGGTGAAACACAGCGTAACCAGAAGGGAACATTTAGGAAAGAGTTTGAGACACTGTCAGTTTGTATTCATGGATGTTGCTGCTTAATCATTTATGTGGTGTGTGAGTTTCTGGGTTTCAGAGCATTGATTTTCTCTGCCTTCTAAAAGTTTCTAAGCACGGGGACAAGAATAAGAAATACTACTTGAAGTTGAACATCAGAAAAAGCATTCAGTAATACTTTGAGGCTCAGTGTTACACAATTGAAGCCATGTAAGTCCAGATATCTGTTAGCTATTTATACTTGAATATACGTGTATGTGTGTTTTCACACAATGATGTGGAAATACTTTAATTACAGGAGAACACGACGTCACCTTATGGTTGTACCTAATAATTAGATGGTGGAACCACCTGGGTGTAAAGCAGAAGAGGATGTAAGCAGTCATTCACTTCACTGATGATTTTTGTAGGACTGATCAAATCAGAACCTTTTCTGATACATCTAGAAATCGTCTTGTGAAGTCAG